GACTGCCATAAGACGTTTGACTTGAAATAGCATGACATGTTGATTACTAACCAAAACTCATTCAAAACCAACCTTGTAAGCATGAAGTAGACTAGAACTGTTTGGAAATATATGATGAAAATGTAACAGTAAATAGGAACTCTCCATTGAATGGTCACCTTTCTGCGCATTTGCCTCACAGCGAAAAGCAGCTGGTACTGTACTACAAAGAAAGTTTTCGGGTCTGTTTTTTAGAAACACCCTGAGAAACAAAACCATTTCCAGCAAAGTTTGCCAATGCCACAACAACTGTGGATATATGAAATAATGAAGAGCGCAGGTCGCTGGGCTCAGAGATGCACGTTTCAGTGTGGTGAAGCACAAGGATGTACATCTAAGAACTATGGAAGGAGGTGGTAGAAACACAATGGGGAGCAGTGTCTGAGGAAAAAAAAAAAAAAAAAAGCGTTGAGGGAGAAAGGCAGTCAAACATGGGCCCTGAGCTGACACTGGGGCCAAGGGGACTTGTGTAGATACACAAAGTCCATGAATTGCTGGTACAGAAGTGGTGTCATCTTTGTATTTGTTGCTTCTGTGAATGCCACACTGAGGTCTCCAGGTCTTGGATCCACACTTCAGAAAAAAAAAGATGAAAAAATGAAGAGGGCACAGAGAAGAGCCACAGACTAATTAAAGGATTAGAAAAATGTGATTTCTACAGCAAGACTTAGGAGCTCAATTTATTTAGCTTATCAAAGAGTAGGTTAATGGATGATATGATCACAGTCTCTAAGTACCGATGAAAGAAAGAGAAATTTGATAATAGAGGGCTCTTCAGAGCAGGGAAGAAGATGTAACAAGAGTCCGCGGATGCTAGGTGCTGCAGCGAGACAAATTCAGACTAGGGGAAAAATACTGTTTTCTCATTTAAACTGTAAAGACTGTTACTTACTGAAATATGTTACCAACAGTGCCCCTGAGATTTCCAGTGCTAGACTTCTTAAAGGTGGAATGTTTTTTCTAAAGGACTTGTTCAACCTCTGCTCTCAGACTTAGGGGAGAAGTTAAGAAAGTTTAATGATGAAATTAAGAAGCATCTGTACTGGAGAACCACAGCAGTAATTTCAAGGTCTTGAAATGATGATGAAAGCCATGTTTCTTTTAACACATCAGTCCTGTTGAATCTGAATACGCTGCCCTCAATCTGGCAATGCCTGCCTTATTCTTGAATGCTCATCACCAAGCATTCTTGATTTAATGGGGTGGTTCGTGTGGATCAGAACCAGCATACTCAATGCTGGGAGTTATGAGTGTTTTTTTTTTGCAGTGGTAACAAGTTATCCTGTGCAAGATGGTGATTTCCAAATAAAGTCCCTTGGGGTATGATGTTCTGATTCTAATTTGTGGCCTCCAGCCATGGGTTGGTGTGCTGCTGTGGAAGCTTGCTGCCCCCGCAGCTGAACGGTGATGCCTAGAGCTAGCTGAGAATACTTTGTCTACTTCACTGATGGCAGGGTCTGTGCTTTTTGTTTCGTTTTTGCATCACACTGAGTAACTTGCACAGACTGGCAGCTTCTCTTATGTGCTTCGTGGCCATGTGCTACTTACCTATTTAACAGAAATAAGGCCTCTCCCACAAACTATTAATAGTCCCCCCAGGACCAGAGCCTCAGTGGCATAAAAGCACTTCTCTGACACCTTTAATGTTGTGTTAAATGGCCCAATGCTGATGCTTTCTAGAATGTTTATGTACCTGCTTATAGGCTTTTATAAGCTTTTTCTCCAGCCCCAAAGGTCCTACTTCAGTAACCCAAGTGAAGTGATGATACAAGCAAAAAAGTCATCTCATAAAAGTTTTTTTGTCTTACTTTTCCCATCACTTACTAATAATTTTGGTCTTAATAAGAGGTGTGCAGTATCCATTCTTTTGCTCTTGCCTTTTCTATTTTCCCTGTTCCATACAGACTTCGTTTCTTCCACTTGGGCTAATTTCTAAATCTCGTGGCTCATTTTCTCTGCATCTTTTTTTCCACTGCAGGCTTCCTATGAAGCCATGTGCATCTTCTCCAGATCCATGTAGCTTTTGTATTGATAAGGGATAGTAGAAATGCTTTGGCATGACTTCTATATGTTAGACTAATTCTCACTTCCAAAATATCAGCACTCAATATTAAGAAGTAAGAAGAAAGTTTTCCTGACCTCTTTCAGACGTAGGTACCCACCATTTCCATTTAAGAGGTTGATCAGCATAGTTTATCTACTAAACACTGTTCTGATCAACAAGTCTGCACCATTACCCTAATTAGCAAGTGGGAGATTGCATATGCATTGAGACCTTCATAATAAGAATTATAATATCAAAAAGGGAATGTAGGATAATCCTGGGAAGATTTCCTATATCATGTTAATAAGGCCCTAAATTGTTACATTGTTACAATAGTCTTTTTTTTTTTTTTTTTTTTTTTTTTTTAATTGGAGAATAGGAATGGAAGATAGTTTAATGTAAATCACAGATTTCACTGCTCTATTCTCTGGCACTAGGCTTAGTCTAATGCTTCTTATATGCAAAAAATATCTTAGCCCCCATAGCCTCTTATCCACAGCACATATTTTAGAAGGTTATTTCTTTGGTAAAATGCCTGTAATTTAGTGGAAGTAATAACAGGCTGTGTGCATTTTTTCTGGATTTTTAAAATTCTAATTTAAGCAATAAGCAATTTATGCAATATCTTGAGGTTCTTTGACATATTGGAGTTGAAAGAGGAGAAATGGAAGAAAATGACAAATCTTTTCTGTTTTATTTTTTTCCCAACCTTGTTTATGATTTTTTTACTCCTCAAGCATTTCTCAATGTGTGGTTTTCAAGAAGCAGGGTTTGATTAATGAAGTGTCAGATGCAGAGGATGTCACAAGTATTTTGGCATTTATTATTTGCAGCATTTAAATTCACCACAGTATTTTCAGTATTCCATAGTTTTTATTTACTATATTTGTTATCTAGTTAATAGTAAATACCATCCTATAGTAAACATTAGTACATAGTAGATTTAGATATCTAAATAACTATCTGTAGAGAGCTATCTATCTTTAGTTATCTACAGGAAGTTGATATTTATACGAAAAAAAGATACAATCTAGATTTTATTTTTGAGTACCAGTTATTCAGATTTGGCATTTTGAAGGAATTTTTTTTTGTTATTATTATATATATATATATATATATTTATTTTTTGAACTAAGACATGGAAGTGTTCTTCTTTGAAATTACCAAAGAATCTTCTGTTTCTCTATTGAGATGACCTTTCCTTAGCACTGGTGAGAATTTAAGATTTTGTTCAGATTATAAATGCTTAGGCAGTAGAATATTGTTTTTGTTTTGTTTTGTTTTAAATAGGGTGCTTATGGAGAGTATCAGGTTACCTAAAAGCCAATTGTTCCTGTGATGTAGATACTCATGTACCAGGCCTAAGTCCATCAAAATTATTTTACATAGGGAAATGGATAACTATCGAAACCTGGCTAGAATTAATTTTTTTGGCAATAACAACAGGTCAAATAGAAGTTTAGTTACTAATACCTTATTTAGTAATTCCTTACTCTGGTAATCTGAAAACCTGTATACTAGATGATAGCCTTTATCTTTTAACTTTTTTATGTTGTACCTTCTACACAGAATGCCATGCCTGTGCTCCCACGTAGCTGGGAACAACTCTGGTGAGAGCCAGTGAAACAGGATGTTTCTGTTAGGGTTTTATGGCAGATTTGTGATTTCCTTTTGGTGTTATTAGTGGTTATTGAAAAGATAGTATAGTTTCCTCAAAGTACTTATGTCTGTTTGCTCCTGTAGGACTGTAGAGAGATTTTTCAATCCTGACGCATCCCACTTGAGTGTGAATCTTGGCATAATACTTCTTATGCTAGCAGCTCTACCTAACCTTGAACACTTCTTGTGTTAATAGGACCTATATAAAAGGAGAAGAAAGAATCACATTTAGTCCATTGTGTTGTGTTTTGCGTTGTATCCTTGAATAAATTAAGTATATTTCCAGATAACGATGTTTCTTGCTTATTGTTGAGGACCTTTTCTTTCCCCACCCATGTTAAAAAAGAAAAAAAAAAATAAATCCCATGTTTTCACTCTGCTCCCTTGTGATACTCTCGTTGGAATGTGTTCTACTGTTAGACAAGGTGTGCTATTTTCACAATACACAAAGCAACACTTCAGTCTAACTATGCCATTGAAAACGCTTGTGATTCAAGAACCTGGATGATAGTGTCCCTGTGTTGTGTAGAGGTATTTGGAAATCTTCCCAGTGACTTTTCAGCAAGCACTTAATGTGATTCATAATGCTCTGGGATAGACTCACAGATGCGAAAGAGAGCTACTATGCCATCTCTTCTATTTTCATATGCAATCAGGTTATATTCCCTCAGCAGAGGATGTATCTTGTATTAGAATCACACTACGTTTGTTCTACAATGACATTCCAAACTTGACAGAAAAAAACGTCATCCTGACTGTTCTTCAAAAAGCATAAAACAAAACATGGAGTCCAGGCTGCCCTGTCCCCCATGTTTAAAAAGTGTATGTAGATTTTTCAGTGATGCTTTCTAGAACCTTTGAAATATATTGTCTCTACTGAGACATCTTTATATGTCTGTACTGTGTGAGCCATATCACGGACATCTGGGTTTCTATGTATGTCTGAGAAAACAAAGATTGCAGAGTATTCCTTTGAAGGTAATTTGTATTATGCACAGAAAAAAAATAAATACAAGTAATATCATTATTTCTTAATTTGTCTGTTTCTCTGCTACAGAGAAGAGATTGCTAATCTTTTTTTTTTTTTTTTTCCAATTTATTGTACTATATTTGATTGAAATTGTTCATGTTGAATTCTGACTGTCACGTGTGGAAAGTTGCTGCAATAAATTCGGTTCTTTATTTAATCCTTTTTTTTTCTTCTTCTTCTCTCTCTCTCTCTTCCCTTCTCCTTCCCTCCCCTCCCATCCCTCCTCAGGTAGCCAAGGGCAATTTCCACTTACACAGAATGTCACGGTTGTTGAAGGGGGAACAGCAAATTTGACCTGCAGGGTCGATCAAAATGATAACACCTCCCTCCAGTGGTCAAATCCAGCTCAACAGACGCTGTACTTTGATGACAAGAAAGGTAAATTTCCTGAACTCATTGTTCTACAGCATTCTTTCCAAGAAATATTTGTTTTAAACAATTTCCATTTAATATTTTAATGTATAATTGTTTGCTAGGAATATAAGCTTCAAGCCATAATTACGATATAATTTTAAATAATCTGTTTTTTCATGGGTGGGTGTGTTTCACTAAAGTTATCCCTTTTGTGTAAAATTGCAAGTTATTATTAAGGGAAAATAATTATATATGAAATTCTTAGTGCAAGCTGATTTAGAAAACATTGTTGCAAAATATCTTGGAAGAGTGTTTATGGATGACATGGGAAGACATAGTCCATAAACCCTGTACCTTGATTTTATTACTTTGTCTGTTTGTGTACATGTATATATGAAATCACTCACTTCAGCTGTACTGGAACTTGTTTGATTGTTAGTGCAGTACACAGTTGCTGTGGTGGAAATTTTTACTGTAACAAATAATCAAAATTAATTTTTGTTTTTAGTGCCCTGATTTTTCCAAATATATAATGCATATTTTTTTTAAATCCTGGTTAATTTAGAAAAAAAAAAAAAAAACAGGGCAATGCCAATACTATACAAAAAGAAGGGTATTATCACTGCAGTACCATATATTTTCAAGATTTTCATCCTCATCTGAAATGAAGAAGCATGTTTTATATAATAGAATGTTAACCTAAAGACAGCATTAGATACCATAAAGGAATTAAAACTGAAATTACAAGGAATAAAATCATCATTTGGCTTCAAAAATGCAAAGATTTGGTGTTGATTTCAGTAATTAAAAAAAGTTTAACAACATTTTAAATTTAATTCTACTGCTTGAATTTATTCTGAAAGATGATACATATTCTGGGACATATTTTTAAAAGTGCATTTTCTCTTCTGCTTAAAATTAAAGAAGTGCTGTCCACTTTGCTGAATGATTGCAACACTTTACAACACCTTGCAGGACTTATAATACTTTGTGGATCTATGCACTTGAATGAAAGTCTAAAATGTGTCATGTTAAACCTGCAGAAGCTGCAATCAAAATATGTGTTTTTTTTTTTTTTTTTTTTTTTGCTATTAGTATAATAGCTGAATAGAATCTCTTTATAGAGTTGAAGTGGTTCCTTTCTCTTTTATCTAATTTCCTGTAGCGCATAATCATTTGATTTGCAATTTCTTTGAAATCACAAGTACCTTTTGAATGTAGACCAAGATGAGTGGCTTATAAGGTGCAAACTTTTGTGCCGTAAGTCTAGTCCTATAACCTCTACATATATGGACACCTTTATTTTGTCTGTAATCATTAGTGATTGGTAAATAATGTCTGCAAAACTAAAAGCTGAGAGAACTTGTCTGTTGATAAACCACATCAATACTTGTAAAATCTATGTTTTTTTATGCGACGTTTTAAAGGATGTTGAAAAGGATGCAAGGACTACAAATAGATTATTTTGAACTGTGTAGGCCTTTTGATGTGAATTTAATACTCTGTATACTTCAGCTAAATCTCTCTTTTACAAAGAATAATTGATGTTTGTTTGTTTTTTAATATATTGAAATAAAGCAGCAGAATTTGAATGGCAAGCAGCATAGTAAGTACTTTATATTCCCCACAGAAAGCATGAGGAGCTGAAGAATGTAAATTTAAAGGACCACACTCTTTCTTGAACTTCTAGCTTGTCCCAAGACTTTGAGGAATACTTGAGGCTTCAAGTTATTCATTTGTAGAGGGATTACTGTATTAGACAGGAAAATGTCTGACATGATCAAGTAAAAGTTTAGGTCCTTCAATCAGAGGTATTTAGTCTTTCTTACATTGACAAAGCTTTACATTCTTTCTGTGTGACATTTCCAGGCCTGAGTATACCAAAGGGAGTGAGCCAAGTCCCACAAGGAAAATGTTCTGCTACTTTTGAAAATAAAGTTAGAACTTTCATTGGCAGTTTCGTGTGTTGTTTGTTTGTTTGTTTTTCCTATGTCAATATGTATGTATTCTTTATATATAAGAAAGAGATTTCCTTTACACGGTGATTGCTTCATTGAGCCAAAACGAAGAGAAACAGTTATGGGTCCGATCTTGATACTTTTGTCAGTAAATGATGGCAAATGGAACTGTAAAGGCTTCCTTATACTTTTTTGCTTACCTACTTGGATCAGCCAGCCATACAATTTGGCTATAAAAAGCAGCTTTCTGCTAGATCCAGTCATTACTTTTAATTTATTGAGAGCAGTACCTCAGCCAGGGTCTTTTCAAACCTGTCTCCTAGGGTTAGCCAAAACTAATCTTGAGATCTTACTTCCCCCTTTAGCACTATGAAAATTGCTATTTAATAGCTATGTTTCTCAAACTGAAAATTCACGAAAACTGTTAACCCAATGGTGTCGGGTTAAGTTCTGTATAGAAACAGAACCTCAGAGTAGCTCCACCTATCCATTAGAGATGAGTAACTGTGGGTATCACCACATTCTGAACAAAATCAGAATCATATGCATTTAATTTTACATCCTTTCAATAAGTTATTTTCTCTAGATGTACTTATAAAAATGACACACATAGAAATGACAGTAGAATTCTTTTATGTCTGGAAGCATTAAAAAAATCAGGATTTTTTTTTTCTTTTGCTCTGTATTTTAATAATTATGAGAGTCTTGTGCGAAGAAGGAAGTCCAGAAAACATCAAAAGAAGGTCCTAACTGCAGCAGTAGAAAAGGGTGATTACAGCTGTCCGTATATGGCAGAACAGGTACCAAAAATAGAGCAAACTGTCCATGCAGTGAAAAGCTCTCTACCACTAGATTGTTCTTGGTGGGACTCCTTCATGTTTACTTCTTTCTCAAGCAAATTGGTTTCCCTGTCTTGCAAAGACGTTTTCTGACCAAAATAAAAGTTACTGTATGCCAGCAAGGATTAATTTATTTGGTCAGAGAGAGGGAAGGTCTGCTTCCAAGTCCCATGCCTTTCAACAAGGGTTTTTTTTTTTAGGCTCCATTTTATTCAAAATGTATTATGTATACTGTAAAAAGAATATTCATGTCATTTTATGTTCTTCTGAACCGTGGTGCTATGATTGACTTTGAAGTTAAGTCATATTCTTTTTCTTCTTCTTTTCATATTCTTTTTACTTCTCATGGTGATTATTAGGTTGTATTACAGATAGCCTTAGATAAATAAATAAATAAATAAATAAAATTAAATGTGACCTTTTGCTTGGTTAAACAGGGTACTGGCATACAAGAAAATGAGTGGACACTCATTAGCAGAGAGGATTGTGTGGGCTCCTTCAGTTTCACAGATTCTGTCTTTATTAAATACGTTCTTTTGGCTAAGAAGTAATGTGGAAGTCCTGAAAGAGCACATGAATATCATGCCTGCCATAGGAAAATACATTATAACTTTTTATTAGCTAAATGAGGTAAAACAGTAGCTTCCCTCTAAGTCTTATTTTTACACTCCAACATGTATTAAAGCTGAAACTATCTTTGTCTTCATCATTGTTTTAACACACAGAAGCTGAAATACAAATGTTTGATCTTGTGGATTTGGTCTTAGTGATGACCTCTCTCCTTCTGCATACCATGTCTTTGTTGTTCTTTCTTGTAGTTCTTTTTTCTGCTTTCTCTAACTGGTAATTTCAAGGACATGGTGTATCCATGTTATTTTTACTTTGATTTCACTTTCATTTAAAACAAAAAATCTTGACATTAAAAAAAAAAAAAGTATAAATTGATAATCAAGTCACGTAAGTAGATAAGTGGTCTTAATTTTTAAAAGGGTCAGGAGTCTTACCACAACCCCCCTCAGTTTCCCACCTATGGACAGAATTGTTAAGATTTGTCTTCCTGGAAAATATGAATTCACAGCTCACCCTGAGCAAGTTCAGATTCTTTAGAAACAAATGCAAATTGCATGCTACACATGAATCAATTTTTTCCCTACACAATTTTCAATTAAAATGAATAATTACCATAGAAACCTCCGTACCACTTTATGCACCGAAGTACCTATAATTATATACCTGCCTTTGGAAGAAGCACAGTGTGCAACAATGTAGAACTAGCAGATATGATATTAAATTAATATAGGTTATTTTATTTTAGCTTCTCTTGTGGTACTTCTTAAGGATTTAGAGTGAGCAATAAACACAGACAAAGATATAAATGGAGATGTATAACAAAAAGGTTGTAGCATGGAAATATAGAGATGGCTGGTAAAGGGAAGACTTAAGTCTTGCCGGAGCAGTTTTCATATTCCCTTTTGGTAGGGAATAAAGCTACATATGGAACAGGTTATTGAGTTGTAAAGCAGATGTACAACTGAACGATGGCTGTTGGTGCTAAAGTTGTTTAATCTCATCAATATAAAAGTGTGCAATCAGACTATAAAAGCAATGAGAAATGGTTCCTGGTGTATACCTAACAGTTTTACTCAGTCAGACAAATGATACTGTGATATACCTGCTCTTTACCTTAACGGGGAGTTTGCAAGTCTGTTGATAGTAAAACCAGTGCCGTGTTGACATTGATCATGATAAGTTTGCCTCAGACCCACATGACACATTTTGATATGTGCCTGATGCTAATCATAGATGCTTTCATTAAATAGTAGCAATTTCATGTCTTACTAAAACATTAGAAAGCATATTCCAACCTCAGGATTATTCATCCCTCAGCAGCAGAATATGTTCCTTTAGATGACCTTTGGTTATGTTACATGTAAGAATACTTGACATTTATATAACTCCCTATCATTTTGAAGGCTTTCAATGACACTGGTGTTCTAGACAAGGATTATGAGAGGGCACTGTACTTGTGGAGCTCCCCAGAGCTTCCCTGATAGGCGTGGTGCCATGGATGAACTTGTGGAGACACATTTGGGTATAGCAGCTGCTCATAAGGTTCAGCAGTTGTTCCCTCTTGGGGCTGGCATTGTCACTTTAGAACTTGTGTGTAAGTTTAGAGACAGGACATGTCTCTGATCAAAACATCATTCCTTTTGTCATGCCTTTCTCT